TTTTGAAGTCAGATAGAGTAATAATTTCTTTGGGTTTTTTTGCTTAAGATTATTTTAGGTATTTGGATGTTTTTCTTATTTAACACACAGTCTAAATTTGTTTTTCTGTCTCTTTAAAAATAGCATATATATCTTGATCAGGCTTCAGTTGAATCTGTAGATTGCTTTGGGAAATATAGATATTGTATTGGTAGTGATTTTTCTAATCTATGAACATGGGATGTCTTCCTACTTCCTTCATGCCTTTTTCGATTTATTTCCTCAATGTTTAATAGCTTTTATTGTAGATATATTTCACTTTCTGGGCTGGGAAGATGGCTCAGTGGTCGAGTGCTTGCCTTGCATACATAAGTCCCTGGATTCGATTCCTCAGCACCACATAAGCAGAAAAAGCTGGAAGTGGCGCTGTGACTCAAGTGGTAGACTGCTAGCCTTGAGCTGAAGAGCTGAGGGACAGTACCCAGGCCTAGATTTCATGCCTCACAACTGACCAAAAAAAAAAGAAAGAAAAAAAATACTTTCTTAGTTAAGTTTATTCCTAAGCCATTCATTTATTTTATAAGGTTATTCCTGATACCTTTTTCCAGAAAGTTATTTTTGAATGTATAGAAATACAACTGATATTTGTGTGTTAGTTATCTAGACTGAACATTATTTATTTTTTGGTTCCTTTCTTTTGGTGAAATCTTTTGTGTTTTCTGTATATAAAACCATGTCATCAGTAATTAGTTATAACTCTACTTCTTCCTTTCTTGTTTGGATACTTACTTTTCTTTCTTTAATTACTCTAACAAGAATTCCCAACACTGTTTTTAAGATAAGCAGTGGGAGTGAGCATCCTTATCTTCTACATTTACATCTTAAAGGAACCCTTTCCTTTAAGATATTTGGGAACTATGTTACCTGTAAGTTTATTATATATGGCAATTATTAGGATGAGGTGCAGTTCTTCTATACTTACTTTTTTGTGTATTTTATCTTGAAAGTACATTGAACTTTGCCAGTGACATTTTTCTGCATGTAATGAGATGACAATGGATTTTTCCCTTCATCCTGTGGATATGCTTTATCAAATTTATTGTTGTGCATATGTTGACACGTCTTTGCATCCCAAGGATAAGTTCTACTTCATTATAATGTATTATCCTGTTAATGTATTATTGAGAACTTTTGAGAGCTTTTGCATCTATGTTCATTAAGGATAATAGCCTTTAGTTCTCTCTTTTTGTGTGTGTGTCTGGGAAAATATTTCAGTAAGATCTTGTCAACTTGTTCCACCTCTGAGACATTATTTTAATGAATTTTGCTTACTCCATTACATTCTTATACTCTACATTTTAAATTCATAGCATGATTTTTTAAATGTAAGTAATATTTGAATAAATATATTGGAGTATGTGAATATTTTCACATAACAATGATTTATCTTCCCTCAGGGAAACCTTCTATTAGTATTGTAGTTAATATAAATATATATTTATTTTTTAATTCTTTTGATACTAAATCCCTCTCTCAAATATTTGTATGAATTTCCAGTCTTTTTTTTTGGGGGGGGGAGGGTTTGTGGGGCTTGAACTCTGGGCCTGAATACTGTCCCTCAGCTCTTCAGCTCAAGGTGAGTATTCTACCACTTGAGCCATAGTGCCACTTCCAGTTTTCTGGTGGTTTATTGGAAATAGGAGTCTCCCAGACTTTTCCTGCCCAGGCTGGCTTTGAACCCTGATCCTCAAATCTCAGCCTCTTGAAAAGCTAGGATTATAGGCATGAGCCACCAGTGCCCAGCTGAATTTCCAGTCTTATTGGCAGCAATAGTAGTGCTTGTTTGGAGCACAATTAAGAAAATATCTTTATGTTATCCTTAAATACTTCATAGATCCACACTTCTATCCATCCTGGAATTGGGCCTTGTTGATGTCATATGTCACTCTTTTTAATTATCATTTGTATATACTCACTCAATTTCAACTTCTCCTATTTAAAAGTGAATCAGAGATTCTTTGTGCAGTCACATTTATGTATTCTGTCTAAAACTATGTAAAGATGACATGATAGTGTTAATGGTGTGAAGATTCTGGTAGAAATAAATGTGTGAAGATAGCACAATTATTTTTAAATCTATGTTACATTATTTTCTAAAAGGAGGCAAACTATGCTTGCAGCTGCATAACACATTGCAATATTAGAAAATATACCCAGTGGATTCTGTTATAGTTCTGATTAGTTATTGTTTTTCTTATCTCCCCACCTCAAAACAATTCTATAGGGTTCTGCTACTGTTAGTAATTAAAAGATAAATATTAACATAATTAAATGATAAATGTTAATAGTGATTTTGTTTAGTCATATACACAGACATCAAATGCATGCATCACGTTTTAACTGGAGGTCTAGACCATCTCCTACATCTCCCTAGGCCTACATCTCCCTAATATGTCCTGCCACTTGGCCCACTGTGATAGAAAGAAGTATTGGTGAAGGGCAGAGGCAGGAGATTTATTATGCAGCATGAGCATGCTCTGGGGTGCCTGAGTTGATGTTTACTAAAAGCTGTTAGGAAAATGTTATCAAGAAAATATAGGGCATACATCCTCAAAAGATTAAAAGTGGGACATCTTTCTAAAGTCCTAATGAGCACTTTTCTGAGGCCTCCCAGTGGTGCTGTGAGCTCTGCAGCTGTCTCTATTCACCATGTGTTTTTAGGAGCCTTTTCATTCTGTCCACAGCTGTTTGCCTGCAACTGACAATGCCTTTGTCAGAAGAACCCTGTATGACTCTGTTATTCTTGGCAGGCTCATTTACTTTTCTATGTTTTCTTTTCCAAATAATTTCCAAATCATGATAAGTCAATTTCTCCTGTTTTTTTTTTTTTGTTTGAGAAGACAAGAAAACTTTTCGTGTCCCTATAGTAACAGACTGTCCTCTCATTTTCCTAACTGTTTTTAAAAGGACATCAGCAGAGTGTGATGATGTATGACTGTAGTTTCAGCTAATACAGAATTCAGTCAGGACCACTGAAGCCCAGGAGTATAGGACGTGCCTAAGTAAGATAAGGAGACACTGTCTGAACATACACAGAGAGAGAGAAAGAGAGAGAGGGAGAGAGAGGGATAGAGAGGAATAGACAGATTATATGTAAATGAATTGAGGATGTTCAGGGAATTCCCTTTTTTAACATTTGTGGGAGAATTTCATTTTCAATGAATTGGAAACTTTGCTGTTTTTACTTAGAAAAATGGCATAAGATCAGCTATAAAATAGTGGATTGATTTCTATTCAAGAGAATGCAATATTAGTGTAGCCAAATTGTCTAGACAATTTTTGTATGTCTGCCCAGTGTCTGCACTGTCCCATATTGTAATTCTTTTTTTTAAATTTTTATTTATTTTTTATTGTGAAAATACTGTATAGAGGGGTTACAATTACATGGGCAAGATAATGAGTACATTTCTTATCAAGCATTGCAGCCTCCTTTGTTTCCCCTTCCTATCCCTTCCCATTCTCCCCCGGCCCCCCCCCCCATCCAATTCCCCCCCTCCAAAGTTGTAAAGTTCGTTTTCGACATGACAACTTGTACTTCTCATTGTTGCAGCGGTTCCACCTGTATCCTTATTTAAACAACTTGTTTTTCCCCTTCCCCTCCACAAATTATACTAACATCAAATACAATGAAAGCAGAGGTTATACTGTGGGGGAGGGACATACAAAGTAACAAAGAAATAATCTTATAAATGAGTTAGAAACAAATGCATGAAAGAAAAAAATTAAATACATATCTTAGGGTTCATTTCCCTAACATCACATTATCTGACCTTTCCTGCTTGACTCGTACATATACTAGATATTGCAAATAAGGGAAACCATGGGACCTATGTTTCTTTGGGCGTGGCTTAGTTCACTTAATATAATTTTTTCCAAGTCTTTCCATTTCCTAACAAATGGGGCAATGTCATTCTTTCTCATGGAGGCATAGAAGTCCATTGTGTATATATACCACATTTTCTTGATCCATTCATCTACTGAGGATGGAATAGGAGAACCGTAGGTCTCCTTGGCGCAGCCCGAAATTTTCTTAATAGAGACCCAGAAACACAACAAATCAAAGAAAGGTTGGACAAATGGGATTGCATAAAGTTGCAGAGCTTCTGCATGGCAAAGGACATAGCTAGCAAGATCAATAGAGTGCCCACGGATTGGGAGAAGATCTTCATTAGCCATACAATGGACAAGGGTCTCATATCTAAAATATACTTGGAACTCAAAAAATTAAATCCCCCAACAACAAATCCTCAAAGAAACAACTGCCCAATAAATAAGTGAGCTAAAGACGTAAAGAGAAACTTCTCTGAAGAAGAAAGAAGGATGGCCAATAGACACATGAAGAAATGTTCAACCTCCCTAGCCATAAAAGAAATGTAAATCAAAACAACATTAAGATACCACCTCACCCCAGTTAGAATGGCAAAAATCAAGAACTCTAATAACAACAGATGCTGGAGGGGATGTGGACAGAAGGGAACATTACTTCATTGTTGGTGGGAGTGTAAACTTGTTCAACCACTTTGGAAAGCAGTGTGGAGGTTCCTCAAAAGACTCCACATAGAGCTCCCCTATGACACAGCAATTCCACTTTTGGTCATTTACCCAAATGTTTACAAACAAGACCACACTAAAGCTACCAGCACAACTATGTTTATTGCAGCATTATTTACTATAGCTAAGATATGGAACCATATTGTAATTCTCTGTAGTCCCTATATAATATCACTTCCAAAAAGAGAGATTTAGATTTTACTTAAAAAATGTTGTTGGGACAAGTGTGTTTACGAAATGATGGATGGCTGTTCTTATGGATCAATATGGAGCAGTATGGGAGGATATTTTAATAATTTGTATGAGTATTCTTATCTATATAACTTATGTAGAAACGATTTGGTCATGTTATCTGGCAAAGCTTATTTTGTTATTAATGGCATTTATCTTTTCTCTATTGTTAAATATAGCAAGATCAACTGTACACCTGGGCTGCAGTTAGTCAACCCACACATTCACTGGATTACATAGAAGGGCAGTTTCCCAGGCGAGCCCCATCTATGTGGCCACCATCAAGACCTCCTGAAGAACAACTCAAGGCCAAGGATGTTGAAACAGGTAGGATGAGGGCTATGTGAGATTCTGTGAGTGCTGTGAGGTGGTGTCACATAATGTGTCACTACAGAGCTTACTGGGGGAGGGAGTCAGTGCTTGCACATAGGGGCATTTTATAGTTTCCTCTGAAGGTAACTGCCCAATTAAAATGAATGATAGACCTGTAGAACTGAAGATCTTTATGACCATGTTCAAGGCTATTGAGTTCTAACTAATGGAGGAGAACAAGACACTAGAATTATCCACCAATGAATGTATATATTAAAGTTTGGGAAACATCATCTCCAGGCATCCGGTAGAAGCCACCAGAAAGTTGGAGCTCCATATACTGCTTGGGCTAAGAGGGTCCAAGAGGGACATTTCTGTTGTTTCCAAAGAGTGGGTGCCCCAACCAAGTTCCTCTGAATCTTGTTACTTTCTGCTTTATTTGTACTTCTCTTTCTCTATAGAGACAACTGAGAGAGGCAAAATAGAAAAATAACTTTTATGAAATCTCAGTTTCACAATACTTTAAAAAACATCATGCATCATTTAGATCCCGTCTTCATTTTCATTAAACTTTTTACTTTTTTTCTCTTTCTCATTTTGCTGTGGGAAGCTATTCTGTATTCTAGAATGGGAACTTAGCATGAAATTAGCATCAGTGTCCGTTGGAGGAGTTCAGTAGAATGATAATCATTTCAAGCCAGAATCTAGGGTTTCATGCAAAATTGAGAGTCATATTTGTGTTTTAATGCTTTATAGAATTTGATAGTTTTATATCCTCTTTTTCTTCATTTTGATATAAAAATTGTCCAGCAGAGTGACCAGGAACAAATATTGATGTAAATATTTTCTATAAATAGATACTATTGAATATAATACAGATACAAATATCTAAGTGAAGAGCAAACAGGAAATTCTTATTGCTGCTCCGATATTCGTCAAACAGATTTTCTTAAATGATAGCATGAACTTTAGAGTTGAGAACTTTAAGTGTCCTCATTGGTTCAATGAAAGAATTGTAGCCATAGAAACTTAATTTGGACTTGTAGTAAGAGAGCTTTTAACATAAGAATTTGGGTTCTGTCCCTAAATAGCTTAGTAATATCAGACAAATTTAACTACTGTATTGCTTTCCTCTTCTACAAAGCTGTCATGGGAACAGCACTCATTGTGCAGTGCTGTTGGAGGTTTCTATGGATTCATATAAAGTGTAAGAACACAGAATGCATTTCCAAGTTCAGTAAGAATATTTGCTATTATTATTGTTATTATGATGCCATGAATTATTGCAGTGAGTTCAAGTCATTTTCTTGTGCAGCAGTCGTATTTAAAATCAACAGTAATCTAGTGTCAAAGGTATTCCAGGCCATTGGCCAAAGTCTTGCAAAGGGAACTCACTGTTCTCCATTCATGCACTTTTGGGTAGAAATATTTCCTTCTCTCTTCCACCAGTGCATTCCACCCTGAATGTCCCTTTTTAAATGTTAAGCGGAGTACACAGTGTAGTAGAGTACATTGAAACAGAGAGGTCTTCAGAGATGAGAGTTCTAATATGAGAGTACTTTGAAATAAAAAAGTAATTTTAGTTTTAAAAGGAAAACCACACTAAAGTTATCCATGTCTTTATATATATTATTTTTATTTATCTTGTTAGAAAAAAATTTTGCTTAAAAATTCCTGGGTTTATATTTTATTGAAAGCCCTTTGAGAAATTTGTTTGGTGATACCTTGATGTTGTGTTTACTCTACCTTTTAGAGTAATTAAAAATTATCTTACTGAGTATGTATACAGAAGTGGTACTTGATTGGGAGCTGACTGAAAGTTATTATCTAGCTGTAGCTTGAGTATAATAATTGGACTTGATACTAGGACTTGATACTAGTTTGCTCTAAATTGTTTAACATAGCTTGCAGAACACTAGAGCAAGTAATTTTAATATAAAACCTTTTCTTTTATAAAATATGCATTCTTGAAGAGGATGTTGGTGGTAAGTAGAAAGTAATTTTATTTAGCAACTTACTTTCCTCCAATCGAATATCAATAGCCATAGAACATACGTTTGTTCAAAATGAACTAATGACATGTAATTCCATTCATTTGGAGACACAGTCCCGTGGGGCATTCTCCTTCACAAGCTGTCATACCACTTCCTTTCTGCTAGTCAACTGTCACCTGTGAGAGACTGTCAGCACTACAGAAAGGCTTGCCTAGAGCCTGATGTTTTATTTTTATTATGAGCAGTTGCAATGTAGCTATCGATAGTAAACTATTTGCATATACATAATTGATGGCACACATTACTGAGCCGTGATGTCATTATTAATATAACTAACTACAAGGTGTGGCTGCTTTCAATTTAATTCAAAATAAAAGAGCTCAATGGTTTTTTTTCCCCTTTTGAAGAAGTCAGACTTAAAGCCTCTCTCAGAAAATCATGAGCTTTTATTATATATTAACATCATAGATTCTTGCAACTCTTCAGAATAAGTGGTTACTAATTCATATGTCCAGCTATTTCATACTTGTCATACTGCTTCTTCAGTCCCCCCCCCCCTTTTTGGCAGTTGTGGGGCCTGAACTCTGGATGCTGTCCCTCAGCTCTTCAGTTCAAGGCTAGTACTCTACCACTTGACCACAGCGCCACTTCCGACTTTTCCTGCTTATGTGGTGCTGAGGAATCGAACCCAGGGCCTCATGCATGCAAGGCAAGTGCTCTACCACTGAGCCACCTTCCCAGCCCTTCTTCAGTCCCTTTTCTGTATTCCACTTTTGTGTTTCCTTTATCCATCCTGTAATAGTTTCTTTTTTTTTTCTTTCTTCACCTTTATACACTGACCAAACAGATGGCCTTTTTTTTTTTTCTCCTATGAACTTAAAAGGAATCTCTGTGAGGCCGGGGTGAAATATTGCTACCTCTCCTCTCCTGTGAGCTGCAAAGGCCCTCAGGTTCCTGAGCTTCCCTTCTGGATCCCTGTAAAGTCAGTAGTGTTTTCATGGACAGGCCTTAGCAGTATAAACTGACCTCTTTAAAATGCTTCATGAGAAAGGAATAGAAGGAACTTTGGAACTGACTTGCTCAGTTACTGTGGGTAATGGAGACAATGATTAGAACACAGCCTTTCACTTGTGATGTTTTCTGTCTGTGGTCTCTCTTGCTATCCACACAAACTTATATGGTCTTATATGACACCTGCACTTACACATCCACAGTAGTGGCTTCGTTTCTAGTGTCTTGTGACCTTTTATTCATATATGTCATTTGAATGCTTTTCATATCATAACTTAACCTGCTTATATGCACTCCTTCTTGTAGACTCCAGTATTTTATTATGTTCAAAATATGCAATTCAATATTTAAAGGAATGAATGGAGATCTTCGTTTGAAAATAAAACACCCACCACAAATGAAGCAACAGCCCCTACAAATTGGAATTATAGGGATACCAGGCTTTTAGGTTACGTTCAGAGCTGTACTAGGCAAAATGATAGAGCATTTGCAGTTTTATCAGCAATATTCGTCCCCTCTCTTTGCTTCATAAAGATTTAAAAAATGAAACAACAAAAAGTCTATATTGTAAATATTTCAGAAGGGTGATGAAGTAGGTGGCAGTTTTCAAAGTACCTTGGAGAGCTCTCTCATCCTGTTTCTCTTTAAAGGAAGCATTCTAGTTAGTGAGTGTTTACTGAGACTGTCTGCCAGTCGACAAACTGGGTTTAAGGCAATTCTGAGAAGGTCCCTTGAGTGCTGGATGGATGCAGGAAACTTGGTAACAAGTATGGGAGGAAACTCATTGAAGGGTAGAAATGAGCTCAATTCTGAAATCCCGCTGAATCTTGACTTGTTTCTCTGGACCAAGAGAATAACAGAATGCCATCTTCTCTCTAACAATTACATGCCACTTCTGCCATTTCTTTCACTTGATTTCCACCTCTTTCTCTTTTATTTTCTGCAATTTCTTTTTCTTTTATATTTACTCTTCTCTGGTTCTTAGTTTGTTCTTATTCATTTTCCCTTTATGTGGCAATTATTAGTTCATATATTATTTTCACTTTGAAAGCATTGATCAAGATGTATTACTCTCATAAACTGAAAAGTTGATTGAAACCCCTTCATACAATTTATAGAGATAATAGCAAATAAATGTGCAACAAAATCCCTACAAAACACAACAACAAAAAAATAACTTGACCTTCTAGATTCCTACATTGTAGCTGGTGAGTTTAATGAAGGTATTTTAAGATATAAATTTATCTTAAATGGTTAAATATAGATATTCAAGGAAAGAAAGAGTTTGAAATAATGGGAATAGGGAAGGGAGAATGAATTGTTTAGATAATTATTGCATAAGATTGAAGGATAGTGAGAACATGGGTGTAGGGGACTAAAATATTCAACTGCCAATCTTTCCAGTTAATATTCTATTCTAATTACATTGTTCCAGTAATCTACACTTTTTTTATTCCCATGAGAGTCTGGAAGTTTGCTTGCATTCTAGCCTTGGGCTATTCTCTATGTAGAGGATAGATGACATTAATAATTTTCAGAATCTGATCCAGGGAGCATTGAAGATTCCTGCAGGCCTTCTTATTTTTGTTTTTATATGTTGCTATGTGCATGTAAGCTTTGCTTCGAAGAAAGGGCCAGTGCCCTCTAGCTTAAATGAAAGATTCTTGACTTGCTTATCCCTTACGTTTTCTAGCAAATGACAAAAACATGAAATATACAAAATTCATTCAGAATGCTGAATTACTCAGTGCCTCCTGGTGACTAGTATTCATTATTTATTATCAAAATCTGAAGATAACTTTGGGTAGTTAATTAAGGTATTTGAAATGTAAGTGTTCAAGACTGGTATAGTTTCCACCATGTACAAACATTAGCTAAGTTAATATAATAAGTGTAAGTCTTGGCATGGACTGTCTTTAAAAATTGTTTCTGTTGAGTGGTTCTGCAGGGACTTCCAACTTCATATGTACATTTATTTATATACTATATCTTGATCAGAGTCACCTCTTCCATAATTCTCATCTTCCCAACTATCTCTTCCCCCACCAGCTAGTTTCCCACTTCATTTTTTCATATACATACATTGGGTACCTACAACTATATTCATCCACTGTTTCTTTTTTCATTCATCCTCTCCACTAGTCCCACTTCCATTTGAAACATGTTTCAGCTTCCTGATACTCATTGTTTAATTGCTGTTAATTGTTTAAAGTGCTGACACCATGGAATTTTATTCCTGCATATACTGTAATTTTGCCAGCTTGGTCATGTATATATTTAGCAAGGTCATTCTAATATAAACGTATCAGAAAGCAAGTATGATAGATGTGCAGAGAGGAGTGTAGTGTTATTCTAGGCTTTAAAAGTTATAATGGCCAGGCACCAGAATTACATGTCTGTAGTCCTAGCTACTCAGGAGGGTTATATCAGTGGCTCACACCTATAATTTTAGCTACTTAGGAGGCTGAGATTTGAGGATTGTGATTCAAAGCCAGCCCTGGTAAGAAAGCCCATGGGGCTCTTATTTCCAATTAAATACCAAAAAAGATGTAAGGAGAGCTGTGGCTCAAGTAGTAGAGCATTGTCCCTGAGCAAAACAGGTCAGGGATATTTCTTAAGCTCTGAGTTCATTCCCCAGAACCAGAAAACACACACACACACACACACACACACAGATGTCGCAATGTGTTGGTCATTATTTAAGTGTTATATACTCAAAACTATACCCCTGTTTTAGCCATATTAATGGATCAGTGAAAAGACTAGATATTTGCAATGCTTATGGTTAAAGATACATTCTCTTGACTGAAGAGATGGGAAATTTTATTTAAGATATTGATTATCTGCTTCCTTTCCAATCCAGAAACTCAGTCTGCAGTTTTGGAAAGTCCAAAAAATGGTTCAAATGCTGTCCAGCAGGTAAGAAGAACTTCTTAGAATGTCAAATCTCCATTTCTCATATTTGTCTTAAAACTGAGCCAGGCTCTATGATTGTCCTGCTGACTGGGCCACCCTTGTTTCCCTCAGCTGCAAAAGAGGCTGCATAGACAGAAAGGGACATGTTCTCCCATTTAGAGTTTACAAATAACTCTAGCCTTCAAACGAGCCTGAGTTAAACGTAATGGAACTGTTTCAGCAGAGAGCTCTGGCCACGTTGGGAGAAATGTGTGGATGTATGCCTGGAATTTGCGAATAGTCCTAACGATATTCTTACAAAACAAAGTCATAGCTTCTCTAAGATCAAATAATACCTTTTTACACACCATGGAAGAAACCTAGACTTTTAAAAAAGTTTCATTTTTAAATTTAAAAAATTTTCTTTAAGCAGACTATTTAACAAAGCAGTTTATGAATACATCTGTTTATGTGGATCAATGTCACCCTTTCCATCATTCTCACGCATCCTTCCCCATATTTATCCCTTCCCTCACTCTTATTAATTTTGTAGGATATCTATCTCTGTCTGTCTGTCTGTCTGTCTGTCTGTCTGTCTATGATTCTTGACTGCATTCTCCCCTTCTTCTCCTCTTCATTTGTCTTCTCCTTTGCATGTGACTTCCCCTTTCCCTGTAACCCCACCCCACCCCTTTCAAGTACCTGCTTCCTGGTGCTTATTTCCTTGAATTTTCATTTGCCTTTCTAAGGAATTGTACTATTGAGTTCTACCTTTAATATCCCATGTGTTTCAATTAATACACTTGTTCATGTTAAGCAACCATTGTATCAATGAGCCACTAAAGTTCTCAACTTGCTTTGTTGGATGAAAATTTACTTAGTGTCTGTTTAATTTCTACAGAGCTGTTTTCTCCTCTTGTTACTAAAGAAGTCAAATTTCATGTATTTTTTTTTGTATTTAACTGGACTTAGTATAAAATTAGCAAAAAGTAAAATATGTACATGGAACATTAATAGTAGATAGCATTAGTTCATTGAATATAAAATCACTTGTTTGTTTTTTAAGCTCATTTATTCTTTTGAAAGTACTTTAACACTATATTAACAATCCAAATTAAGATTTATTCTATTTTTATTGTCTATTTTTATTGTTTATTGCTGTTTCTGAGTTAGTGTGTGGTGATATATGCAGATTATCTCTGACAAAGTAATCTCTGTGGAATTAAACAATTCATGCAACCTATGTTTCTTTGGGTCTGGCTTACTTCAGTTAATGTAATTTTTCCAAGTCCTCAAATTTCCTTACAAATGGAGCAATGTCATTATTTCTGATGGAAGCATAGAATTCCATTGTACATATATTTTCGTGATTCATTTGTAGCCTTTTTTGCCACATCCCTTCCAGCATCTCTTATGTTATTTTTCTTGATAATAGCCATTCTATCTGGGGTGATGTGGAATCTCAATGTTGTATTGTTTCCCTCATTTGTAGTAATCACAATGTGCCTATAAATCTACAAGTAAACACAATGGATGGTAAAAGACACAAAAAAATACACTTGGACATGATAAATTAAGCAGCACTCTAAACATTCTCACAGTGAGACAAAAGGAGGATATTCTTAGGAGAGGATCACAAAGGCTCCATAGCTATATGCATATGATCGCTTAAAATGATATTTATGGAAATGAACTCCAATAAATGGAAATTAGTTTTTTTTATTATTTTGATTTTTAATTTTTTTCTTTTTCTCCTTTGCTGCTGTTTTTGATTTCTGTGCCTTTGGTCTGTATGTCTTCTGTTTGTATGTAAATGTATCTGTTTGGGGAAGGGCAAAAGGGACACAGAAATGGTTGGAGAAAGGATGAACAAATGAAGCCATGATACCTACTAAACACTATGTTGAAAATGAAGTATACAAATGGGGGGAAGGGTATCAGGAGGGAAATACTGGGGGGAAAAAGGGAAGAAGTGAAATTGATCAAAAGGAAATGCACTGGTTACCTGATTTATGTAACTGTAACCCCTCTGTACATCACCTTTACAATAAAAATAAATAAAATCTGATAAAAAGAAGAAAAGTAATTCATGATCTTTAATAACTCTTCAAAGAACCAACTGCTACACCTTTCATGTATGAAAGCTATGCTCTCCCTAGAGGACAAATATGGGTAAAACACTAGCTAAAAAGTACTAGATGGGGGCTGGGAAGGTGGCTCAGTGGTAGAGCGCTTGCCTTGCATGCATGAGGCCCTGGGTTTGATTCCTCAGCACCACATAAGCAAAAAGAAAAAAAGCTGGAAGTGGCGCTGTGGCTCAAGTGGTAGAACGTTAGCCTTGAGCTGAAGAGCTGAGGGACAGCGCCCAGGCCGAGTTCAGGCCCCACGACCGGACTCCCCCCCCGCCCAAAAGTACTAGTTGGGTTACTATTTTCCCTCAGCAGATGAATGAATCAAGAAAACATGATGTGATGTGCGTGCACGCAAACACACACACACACACACACACACACACACACACACACAATGTTATTCTATGCTTCCATCAGAAAGAATGGCACTGCCCCATTTGTAAGGAAATGGAAAGACTTGGAAAAAATCTTATTAAGTGAAGTAAACCAGACACAAAGAAACATAGATCCCATAGTTTCCCTCATTTGTAATAATTAGTATATGTCTAGGATGGTCCTAACAGATGAACACAATAGCTCAATAGCTATGTACATCTGACCATATAAGATGATGCTAAGTGAAATGAACTCCAAGACATGGACACAAGAGGTTTTTCTTTGTTGTTGTAGTTTTTAATGTACTATGTGATTTCTTTTTTCTTTTGTGTGTTTTCTTTTCTGTTCTTTTTCCTATGGTTTATCGCCTGTTGTCACTGTATTTGATTTTGGTATCCTGGGTTTTGTATATAACTTCAGAGATATTCTTTTTTTTTTTTTTTTTTTTAAACTTTTTTTTTTTTTTTTTTAAATTTTATTTTATTTGAGAACATACTGTACAGAGGGGTTACAATTACATGGTCAGGATAATGCATACATTTCTTACCAAGCATTGCAGCCTCCTCCTTTGTTTACCCTTCACCTCCCTTCCCAGCCTCCCCCCTCCCCCCCACCCAATCATACCCCCCCTCCCCCCGCCTCCGACATTGTAAAGCTGGTTTTGACATGACATTTTGTACTTCTCATTGTTGCAACAGGTCCACCTGAATCCTTAAACAACTTGTTTGTCCCCATCTCCTCCACATGTTATACTGACATCAAATATAGTGAAAGCGGGGGTTACACTGTGGGGGAGGGACATACAAAGCAACCAAGAAATAATCTTATAAATGCATTAGAAACACATGCATGAAAGAAACAAAAACATTAAAATACATATTTGAGGGTTCGTTTTCCTAACATCACATTCTCTGACTTTTTCCGCTTGACTCATACCTATACTAGATATTGCAAATAAGGGAAACCATGGGACCTATGTTTCTTTGGGCCTGGCTTACTTCACTTAATATAATTTTTTCCAAGCCTTTCCATTTCCTAACAAATGGGGCAATGTCGTTCTTTCTGATGGAGGCATAGAATTCCATTGTGTATATATACCACATTTTCTTGATCCATTCATCTATTGAGGGGCTTCTGGGTTGGTTCCATATCTTAGCTATGGTAAATAATGCTGCAATAAACATAGTTGTGCTGGTAGCTTTAGTGTGGTCTTTTTTGTAAACATTAGGGTAAATGCCCAAAAGTGGGATTGCTGGGTCATAGGGGAGTTCTATGTGAAGTCTTTTGAGGAACCTCCATACTGCTTTCCAAAGTGGTTGAACAAGTTTACATTCCCACCAACAATGAAGTAAGGTTCCTTTCTGTCCACATCCCCTCCAGCATCTGTTGTTGTTAGAGTTCTTGATTTTTGCTGTTCTAACTGGAGTGAGGTATTCAGAGATATTCTTAAGTATTGTGTGATTAAAAAAAAATTTCCTAGCTACTTTTTAGTTTTGATTTTCTTAAGCATGTCTAAATTTTTATCTGAAAGAATATAATTATATTTTTCTAAATTCTATGTCCAGGTCATAAGTAACTGAACTTTTTTAAAAAAATGTATTTAGTGCCAAAGCAAATCCAAATAAGAAACATTCTGTAATGATGACAATGAAAATAGGTTTGCAACCTTGTCCTCTATATTAATATTACAGTATATTAAGATACACACTCATGTAAATTTATACAGTGATCTGTTTCTCTTCAGCTATGGAACATGGCAAAATATATTGCAATAAGCAGAAAACATAGTAGGCTCAGAGATTTGTTAAGAATGATATTGCACCATCTCTAAGGAAATAGAAAGATGAGGGAAAAATTAGGTTACATGAAATAAGTTGGATCCAGTGTGACAAAGGATGCTTCTTTTGCCTTATACGTAGAACCTAGATTTACCTTATTAACTCATAAGTAAATACGTTATGTGGTATGCAAATGTATATAACTGTGTTAACTGAAATATGGGAGATTCAAGGGAGATCTCAAATAATGTAATTCTTTAAAAAGCCAAAATCAAAGTTCAGCAAAATAAAACAGCAGGAAGCTGGTACTCAAAAGGGGTGGGGTAGAGACGAGGGGAAAGGGATAGATGAATGAAGAGAAGATGAGGGAAAAATGCAGACAAGAATGCAAAATTATGAAGACTGAAGAAAGGGCTGAATAGGGGAAGGACAGGAGAGAATGTGGAAAGGGGTGACATTGATCAAGATATATTGTATTCATTAATTGTTTTGTTAAATGGGAACACCTTTGTAGAGCTACTTAAATATGATAATAAAAGAAAAGCTAGCACTTCAATCCCCAATAGCCTGAGTTAATTTTCCTACTCTTTTCCTGTTGACAAGTGTCTAGAAACCAGGAAGTACAATACATTAAGGGAGAGGAAACAGATTTGAAAGCAATTGAGGCTAAACAATCAATAATGGTATCATTTACTTTGAAACCATTGACTTTTTGTTGGAACTTTTTTTAATTGCATGG